AAAGCTGAGCACTGAGATCAATAATTAGAGGAGAAAACATGAAGGCATGAGGAAGCCAGTCCTTTGGTTATGGAGTATATGAGGGTGAGAGAACACGAAGCTAGAAAGGTGTGGAGCAGTCAGAAAATAAAGAGTTTGCATGACTTTGTCCTAAAGTCCTGATGAATTAAGGAATTTTAAGAAAGGGATGGTTAGCATAATTAGATTCATGTCCTACAAAGACCACCCTATGGCAGTGAGAACAATGTACTGTAATGGAAAGAGAGAAGATCAGAGGAAAAGAAAACAACCAGGAGGTCCCACTGTATGGGAGAAAAATTGTCTTCTCTTAGGTTCAGTACCTGGGGCTCTGCAAATTAAACTGACAGATTAACGGGAAAATAAAAACAGTTTATACGTGTAATACTTATTAATGCTTATAGACACAGAAGAGCTCATTGAGGGGTAACTCAAATGGGGTGGTTAGAATTTGGAACTTATATGACTTTTAATAGGTGACAAGGAGGAAGAGAAAGGTACTTACAGAAAAACACATGACTTTTTGGAAAGATAGGTGGGTTTTTAGGGGAACAAACAAGAGATAAGAAGGTTTATAATGTTCGTCTGTACAGGTATGAGTAATCTTTCAGTCTCTTCAGGGTTTTGGTATAGGTCTCATTCACATTTTCCCTTCTGGGATTAGATTCTAAGATTTGTGGCAGTCTTGTTCCTGCTTTAAAATCAGATAAGAAAAGCTCTAAGAAGGCTTTTTTTTTTCTGTATCTGTTGAATCTCAAATGTCTTCAGCTTCAAATAATCTTTATACCAAGGGGCATATTTTGGGGTGGCATATTCTGATCCCCTTTAGCAACAAGGAATATTCTAAGGCAATGGCAGGGAAGATAAAAAGGAGCCAATTTACAAGGCAGATTTGTGAGTTTTAGTTGACCAAATAGATATTGGGGACCAGGGTTAGAAAGGAGAGGAAATCCGGGTTCATTCATGGGTATCCGGCTTGGTCTACAACTGTAGCACTTACAACTAGGTGCACAGTAGAATTAATTAAAGAGGCTTTAATAATATCCAGCCTGGGCCCTCCTTCCCTCAGGGGTCCTATTAAATAGGCCTGGGATGAGGCTCAGGGAATGGTATTTTTTAAAAGCTCCCCAGATGACTATATTGTGAGTCAGGTTTGAGAACTTGCAATCTAGGGGATAAATGTGATGCCAAGAGACAGGAAACTCAGGAAGTTGGAGACAGGTGGCTGCTGTTGCATAGAGAGGAGAAGGACATCTAGGGTTTCTCTTTGGCTTTCCTGAGGTTGAGAAAGAGGTCAATTTCAGGTTAGCACAGATTTCAATGTCTGTGCTATTACTCAACAACGTGCCATAACATTTGTTGAAATGCTCTGAAATTTGGTTCCAAATGTACAGTTTCCTTTAGTATGAAGAAACATTGGTAAGATGTGAGAAGAGAAAACAACTGTAGGGAAATGTTTCCGCAAGAAAAGAGGAAAAAAAAAAAAGTGTCAAGGATAAAACAGCAGGAATTTACATTCCAAATCCTAAACCATGTGCTGCATTTCATTTCTCGGGGAAAGCTTTCTAACCCATGAATCCTTTTCTTAGTGAAACTCGAGTCAGGAAACTATTGCTGTGCAGAAATCACGCCAGTACCCTGGGGCACTGAGGGATTAATGAATACTTGTATAGCTAGCCCATCCCATAAGCCAATGGTTAATCAATGGTACTTAAATCTCCTCAGGTAATTGAATTGCAAATCTGGTAGTAAAAGAACCTGTATTCATAAAATTATGCCCATATCTGTTTCTTAGTGTAGATATTGATGAAAGACTACAACTTGTGGATTATTTCTTTCTTATCTGTATTAAAAATTGAGCACAGCAAATTGGCTGTAGGTATTTTCTGCCTATACCTTGTGCACATTGAAGTACGACTGACAGCTACATAAGCTATCGCGTCCACCTCCCACCTAGATGACGTTACTACAAAAGTTACTGTAATGCCTTCCATTTACTCTCAGGACTGAAGTGAGGAACAAACACATGATAGCTGATAAACGGTAGACTTTAGGGATCTAAAAAGTAAGTTTTAGAACGTTATAATTGTACAGCGGATCCAGTGAGATTTCGTATTTTTCCTGAGGGAATACACGCACACACACACATATATGTATATAAAACTTTTCCTCAGGAAAATATATAAATACATGTATATAAATATATATATATATAATATATATAATACATATAATACGTGTGTGTGCATATATATATATATATCTTAGTATGAATTCCCAATATAAAAATGAGCATGCCATTTAGTAGTAAATGCAAGTGCCATTGTCCAAAAACAATCACGGTTTAAAATAACGCCATTTAAAACTGCTTTGGATGGAGCATGCCTCTTTCTAAGCTGTACAACCTTGGATAAGTTATTTAAACCTCTTTATGTCTCATCTCTCTAGTCTCTGAAGTGGGCTAATAATTCCTCACCCCATA